CACAACACACACACATATATAATAAATAATATATATATATATATATATATATACATATACATATATATATATATACATACATACATACATATAAATATATATGTATATATGTACACTTATGCATATGCGTAGTTTATATGTATATGAATATATTTATATATGTATCTCTGTGCATATATATTTATTATATACCTTCTATATTGATATTGTAGCTGTTAATGCATTGTACATACATATATATATGTAACTAGATTCATATGAACGCATGTACTCCCTAGATCATACATGTGGATCATAATATATAAATATGTAGTTGTTTGCTTCTATCTACTGTAGGTTATAAGAGCTTGGATGTGGGTATCAAGCTAGCGAGTGATAATAGTATTAGGCGGCTCAACAAACAGTATCGAGACATCAACAAAGCAACAGACGTATTGTCGTTTCCTTTCTTCGAGGTATGTACTTCTTGTCGGGAGCCTTGTACACGTATCGGAAACATTTCAAACCGCAGAGAATCTACAGCGCATACGCACCTGGTTTCAGTACGAACCACGCGTGGGTTGCACTTTAGTATTGATTGTTCTACTACACACGCCCAAAATATGATGCGTTCCGTCCATTGACTGGTTTGTGCGCTAAAGCGTTGGTGGGTACAACATGTGTGATGCTTGACTTCTCCATGGCAACTTACAACACAGGTGCACATGTATATGGCTATCCTCACGTGTCAGATCTACGTTGCTGGTGATAAGTAATCAGTATATGCCAAATCGTAGAGGCATAGCGAGTCGTAGTCTCAGCTCACACGGTGCGTTACGTTTCTTTCAGAACACAACACCCACCGAATTTGCACAGTCGGTGCGGGACAGCACACCAGAGACTGGCGCAGGCATCGGGGACATTGTAATAGGAACCAACTATGTGTACGAGCAGAGCAAGGACCAGGGCAACAGCCTGGATGACCAACTGGCTGTAGTTGTATGTATTGTTTCTGTGTGGAATCGAAGAGGTAACCCCTTGTGTTATAGTAATGTGTAGACAGGGGATTACGTATTGGTTTTGGATACGGGCATAAGCACAGTAGTATGCGTACGGTCCGTGCCGATATATCAACAACCAACAAACTGGATGTCTGTTTTTGCGGATAGGTTTCCGAACACTCGTAACGTAGGCCGTTTGATCACTTGTGCGAGAATTTTGGATTCACCTGTACTTCAGATAATCATTCATCTGTTGTGGCAATGTTTGCATCTCCATAGTGGCCCCATATTCGCACGAATTGCTATACAACAGCGCCTCCTAGTTTGTGAACGCCATCCTGAGAAGCTTGTACTGGATTTCCATCATGCCATCCATAGAAGCTTGATCTGTAGTTGCCATCATACCATCCGTAGAAGCTTGTTCTGTAGTTGCCATCATGCCATCGATAGAAGCTTGTTCTGTTGTTGCCATCCTACCATCCATAGAAGCTTGTTCTGTAGTTGCCATCATGCCATCCATAGAAGCATGTTCTGTAGTTGCACTCATGCCATCTATAGAAGCTTGTTCTGTAGTTGCCATCATACTATCCATAGAAGCTTGTTTGGTAGTTGCCATCATACCATCCATATAAACTTGTTCTGTAGTTGCCATCATGCCATCCATAGAAGCTTGTTCTG